AGATAGGATTAAGAAAAACACCAAAGCATTTTATAATTGTATTAAGAGCAAGAGGATTGCCAGGCAAAAAGTGGGACCTTTTAGAAACCAAAGGGGCAATCTGTGTGGAGAGCAAGAGGAGGTGAGTGATATGTTTCTCATCTCTATTCACAGGGGAGAAAGACATTGTAACTGGAGATTACAACTGTGATCATGAGGTTCTATTGCTTATTAAGATTAATAAGAGAAGCTTTTAGATGTTTTAGCACACATACAGGTGCATAAATCCCATAGCCTGATGAGATGTTTCCTTAGCTGCAATGGGAGTCAGGGGAGGAAATTGCTGTGGCCCTGGCAGAGATATGTTAATACTTTGACCACCGGCGAAGTGCCAGATGACTGGAGGATAGTTAATATGGTTCCTTTGTTTCAGAAAGGCAGCAGGGATAGGCCAGATAATTACAGACCAGTTAGTCTGATATCAGTGGTCGGGAAATTTTTGGAAAAAGTTCTGAGAGACAGGATTAATCAACACTTGGAAAGGGCTAGTCAGCATGAATTTATTGGAGAGAGATTCTGTCTGACTGATTTCACTGAGTTTTTTGAAAAGGTGGCTAAATACACTGATGAGGGTAGTGCAATTGATGCGGTTTACATGGACTTCAGTAAGGCCTTAATGTGGAGGGTTGTTTTTGTGATTGGAAGCCTGTGACCAGTAATGTTCCTCAGGGACTGGTTCTGGCATTCTTGCTTTTCTTATAATGTATATGAACAACTTGGATGGGAATTAGAAAGTTTAATTAGGGGGTTTGCAGATGACTCAAACATTGGTGGTGTTGTTGATAATGGGGTGGATGGTCTCAGGTTGCAGTATGATATTGATCAGCTAGTAAATTGGGCACAGCAATGGCAGATGGAATTTAATCCTAACAAATGTGAGGTGATGCATTTTAAAAGGTCTAACAAGGGAAGAATATACACAATGAATGGTAAGTCTCTAGGGCGTACTGAGGAACAAAGGGACCTTGATATACAAGTTCATAGATCCCTGAAGATGTCAGCACAGGAAAACAGGATGGTGAAGAAGGCACATGGTATGCTTGCCTTCATTGGCCAGGGTGTAGAATATAGGAGCAAGGATGTCTCATTACAACTATATAAAACATTTGGTTAGGCCACAGATGAAATACTGTGCGCAGTTCTGGTCACCACACTATCGGAATGATGTGATTGCACTGGAGAGGTTGTGAATGGGATTCACCAGGACATTGCCAGGGATGAAAAGTCTCGGTTGTGAGGAGAGACTGAATAGGCTGGGTTTGTTTTCCCTAGAGCAGAGGATGCTGAGGGGGATCTGATTGAGATGTACAAAATTATGAGTGGCAGAGACAATGAAAATTGTTTTCTCCTGGCTGGCCTGTCTAAGACCAGAGGGCATAAGTTTAAGGTGAAAAGTAAGTAGTTTAGAAGGATCTAAGCATAAATGTTTCACCAAGAGCATGTTAGAAATATGGAATGTGCTGTCTTGGAGGGTAGTGGAGGCAGATACTTTTGTAATATTTAGGAAGCATCTGAATGATCACTTATAATGCCAGGGCATTGTAGTTTATGGATCAAGTGCAGGTAAATGGGATTAGTCTAGTCTTATGTTTCTTTGTCAGCATAGATAGGGCCAAAGGGCCTGTTTCTATGACTCTATGACTTCTATTTTACAGTTCTGAGGAAGAGTCACCGGACCCAAAACGCTAACACGGATTTTTTCTTCACAGATGCTGTCAGACTTGCTGAGCTTTTCCAGCAACTTCTGTTTTTGTTTCTGATTTACAGCACCCGCAGTTCTTTTGGTTTCTATTTTACAGTGTCTGTTTTGGCAGAATCCATTATTGTACAGTGTCTGTGTTATTGCACAGTCTGTTATTGTACAATGTCTATATTAATTTACTGTTCTTGCTGCAGCAAAGTAACCCTCGCACAGGGAGAGGATTTCCAACACGTTTTCAATTCGTTGCCAGGTATGCTCCTCTTACAAAATTTGAGCCAAGTGGCTGATCAAATAACAACATGAGGTTTGTTTTCAAAATGAAGTAATGTGTTTTAAATAGGATATTTAAACTTAGACAGTGGCATCATGATTAATCAGCACAAAGACTCCTTGCACCATTTTTGTAAGTGCCGAGTTTGCTCAGGAACTGACACTGGAATGATTGCAACAGTCTACCAGAGAATCTACCAGGACCTCACCCCAGCAATGTAACCTGTTTCCCCACCTTGAAACCAACTCTGTATTTAATAGTTCAACTCAGGAATTAAAGAAATTGTAGAATGATGTGGCTTTGAATCAGTTTATTCTAGCAACAGGTTCCCCCTTACAGACAAAAGCAACCAATCTTCCAATTTTATCTGGAGGTATTTCACCCTCTCTTCTTAATTTGATTCTTTACAATGATTTCACAAGTACAGCACTGAAACAAGTTAATGCAAGGGTTGTGACCTATTGGTCTCTGACTAATACTAGTGTAGCAGGTATTGCCAGTAATAATGCCAAATTCTGAAAAGCTGCCCTAGGCAATGACTTGTGAGAACCAGCAGCAGTCAGTTCCTCCCTATATTCACTGTACAATAAAGCATAATTTCCTTAGTCCTTCCTTAATTGCACCTTTCTTAAAAAAATGTTTATTGGACATAGAAATCACTGGCTAGACCATCCCTAATTGCCGTTGAGAAGATGATGATGAGCCATTTTCTTGAACCGCTGCTATCTATGTGATGTAGGGATATCCACAGTGCTGATAGAAGGGGAATCTTCTAGGATTTTGACCCTGAGACACTGAACCAATGATGATATATTTCCAAGTGAGGATGGATAGGGGCTTGGAGGGGTCTTGTAAGTGTGGTGTTCACATGCATCTGTTACATTGTCCTCGGTGATAAGTGATGATGATGATACAGAGTACAGGTAATATTGAGGGAGGCTTGGTGAGTACATATTGCTGCCATTGTGGTAGATGGAATGAATAATTAAATTGGTGGATGAGGTGCCAATCAAGCAGGGTGATTCGAATTAGATAATGTTGAGCTACTTGAGTGTTTTTTTGGAGCTGTACTCGTCCGGACATGTGGGAGTATTGCATCATACTCCTCACCTGTACTTTGTAGATGGTGAATAGGCTAGGGAATCAGGAGGTCAATTACTCACTGCAGACTTCCTGACCTCTGCTGTTGTAGTCACAGTACTTATATGGTTGTCCAGTTCAGTTTTTCACTGATGGTAATCTCCCAGGATTTTGAGACTGGGGATTCAGAAATGGTAATGCAATTGAACATCCAGTCGCTATAGTTAGATTCTCTGTTGTTGGAGATAGTCATTGCCTTTGATATTCAGTTACATGACCATCACTGAATTCCCCACTATCAACATCCAGGGGTTAGCATTGATCAGAAATTGAATTAGTCTCACCATTTATACAGTGGCTACAAGAACACGTTGAGGCTAAGAATCTTGCAATGAGTAACTCACCTCCCGAGTACCCAAAGTCTGTCCACTGTCAAAAGTCAGGAATGTAATGGAATACTCCCCACTTGACACTCAACAAGCTTTACATCATGCCCAAAGCAGCCCACTTGATTAGCACCACATTACAAACATCCACTCCCTCTACTATCAGTGCTCAGCAGGTACCATCTAACAGATGCATTTCAGAAATTCACCAAAGATCACTAGACAGCACGTTCCAAACCCACAACCATTCTGGGTAATCCAAGATGGAGGACAGGGAAAATTTGCGGCTGTAAGAGCTGATCCTTTTTTTGAGGTATTTTCAGTGGTGGAGCTTATTTCCTCGAATTTTTGGAGCAGTAATTATTATTTTATAAACTGTTGTGTTGTTTTGGAACTTTGCGAAAAAAAATCAAAACAACAGCACTTTACAAAAGGAGGAAGGGAGACAAAGGTGGTGACCACATGGTGGGAAGTGAATCAACGGAGAAAGAACCTATACTGCTGTCTGACCCAGCAGTGAACCTTCAAAGCCTTTGTTGTTTGATTTTAAGTACCTCTGGACTTTGGAGTTCATCTAAATAGAAGGTGACGTGTATATGGAAGGAGCTGCCAGGGGAAGTGGTGGATTTTGGTACAATTACATTTAAAAGACATCTGGATGGGTATGTGATAGAAAGGGTTTAGAGGGATATGGGCCAAATGCTGGCAAATGGACTAGATCTATAGAGGAGGTCTGGTAGGCATAGACAAGTTGGACTGTGCTGTATATTGCTATGACTGTATAGCACTACTGTATGGAAGGACAAAGGAAGCAGATATATGGGAACACCAGCACCTGCAAGTTCCCCTCCAAGCTACACCCCATTCTGACTTGGAAATATGTCACCATTCCTCCAGTGTCACTGGTCAAGTTTCTGGAACTCCCTCCCACAGATCATTTCTGTGCGTAATGGCATCCTTTCAATAGCAGATGTGCTGCAATGGTTCAAGAAGGCAATTCAATACCACCTTCTCAAGGACAATTGGGAATGAGCAATAAATTTTCTTTCATCCAGGGGCACCCACAAACCATTAATAAATAAAAAAAAGTGGCAGTTCAAGATGGGGTAAATGGACTCATTTGTCAAAAGATTAGCACAAGAGGAATGATCAGTTGAGTTCTTCAGGGGTTCATGTAACTGACTTCCGAGCACGGAATCTAAGGATAGGAGGCTAAATAGCAGAAAAGAGAAATACCACTAAATTTTACCTCAGTCGAGTGGGCACCACAGGAACCCCTCTTTAATCCAATCACCGGACTCAGTGAGTGGGACGACGACGCGCAGAACTGTTCCTACTACCGCAGAACAAACTATTGGCTTGATCAACAGTCCGTCACCTTTCCATCCAATCATCTGATCTGAGTCAGAATCCCTGCGCAGCTGACTGGATTCAGTGGGTGGGAGGTCGGTATGGTCGACGAGCAATTGGGTATCACGTCTGACAGTCATCCTTCTCACCTCCAATGGGCCGTGGCGGTTTGATTTTGAAGGGGTGCGCGCGTTGAGCTGGCGGTTGGAGCGGCCGTTAGCGGCTGGAATTTAAATCTCAGGCCACGAGTACGTGAGGGAGGCAGAGACAGAGACAGTCAATAAACAAACCATTCACTCTCGCCGTACTCTTTAACGTCATAGGTTTTCGTACACGAGTTTTGTGTCTGTGTGTTTTTTTTTAAAACAGTTGTAGCTTTCTTTGTGGTGGAAACTTTTTTTCTTTTTCTGTTTGGGACGACTCTCCCTCTTCCCGGGGCTCGAGGTCGAATGGCGGCCGCCGCCACGGGGAGCGGCAGCATCACCAGCCGTCTTAAGAATCTACTCCGCTCACCGCCTGCCATCAACCTCCGGAGATCCCGAGTGGCGACCAGGGCGGGCACAGAGCGGGTAAGGGGCTGGCAGTTCCTGAGGCGGGGCGGATGGAAGGAAGGTTGTGCCCCAGGGTTGGAGGATATCTGAGGGCGAAGGGGGAGAAGCTGCCCGGACGGTGTGGGGGAGTCAAGTGTCTGGGAAGCGGGGTCGGGGAACTGGAAGAGGGAGTGGGATTGATAACGCGGGATTGTGGGCAGGTAGTGGCCGCTGTAGGGGAAGCTTAGAAGAAGATAGAGGCATTGTCTGGGGCGGGGTTGGAGACAATAGGCTTTGGGGGTGGTTTATCTTATGATGAGGCGTTGGGATCGGGGGTGGGATTCTGTGCCCAGGGATGAGGTGGATCCAATGTCCAATGAAGGGGTGGTGACGACTGGGGGGGGGAATCAGTGTTTGGAGGAAGGGAGAGTTAGGAGACTGCGGGATTGGGGGTGGGGTCAGTGTCTGGAGGAGGTGATGGTGAGTGCTGCGGGTTTTCGTTAGTGGATCATCATGAGAGGTGCGAGGGTGTTTTTCAGCGGGAGGGTGGCAGTTCCCAGGAGGTAGGGGCAGGTGGCAATATCTGGTTGGGGCATTAGTGGAAGGAGTGAGGGATAGTAGGGGGTGGATGGTTTTGGGGATGTGAGGGTTAAAGCTATAATGGTCAGTATCTGTAGGGAGAAGTTGGGGTGTGCAGGCTGATGTCTGGGCTAAATGATGCAGGAGTGACCTGATGGTGGTGGGGTGAGGAAGGCTGGGGTACGGGTAGTGCCCACAATGAGACTGTTCAAGTATCAGCTGACATGAGTATTGGACTCTTAATGGTTGTGGCTGAAGAAAGGCATGGCTTGTTGGGAAAATGGTACAGCTCCTAAAATAGCTATGTCCAGGGGAGGAGTGGTTGGCAGTATCTGAGGCCTGATGGGCATTAGTCTATCTGGTTGACAAGGCTTAGAATGGCCAAAGGGAGTCTGGGAACAAAGTGGCCTGGTATTAAGTGGTCACCAAAAATTGACCCTTTCTAAACCATGTCAAGAGGAGTCATGTGTCATACATGTTTGTTTTCAGAAATGAAACAAAGTTGGAGGAAAGGCCTAGCAATGTACTTTCACGTGTAGATGATTAAGGATTTTGGTTACTTATCCGAACTAGTGAAGCGTCTATTCTTAGTGTTCACCTGGCATTTTTGTCCACCGATCTGTCTGTCTATTTAACTTCCATCTGTGCTTTTTAAATCTTGTGGATGGTTTGTAGCCTTCCCTACAAATCCTTGATTGTAGGATAAAATTGTCCAACCAGTATTCAATAAGGGTTACTTTCAAAACTACGGGAATCATTGGCAAGTTTACTTGAACAGGATGTTCATGCATAATGTAGTAACATAGTGTGATCCCTGTAAAGTCTGTCCAAATTGGTGGTAATTCGAGCCTAACTAATTCATTCTTTTTTGAATTGAACTCTCCTTGTAACTTCTGCCAACTTTTATTGTTAATGAGCACTCATTTAGAAATGATTGTGACCTTTGAAGCTGATATCATCTCTCAAGGCTGCAGAATTTAAACAGCAAAAGCTAGCATTCAATGTTGCTCTCTAAATTTTGCAGCCTTCAGTGATGTTATTGGTTTGCATTGAAATGGTCACATGCTAACCAGTGCACTTGCTTCCTATTTAGATAGTATGCAATGTGTTACATAGTTTCCTGTTGATTCTGCTGGCTAGTGGATTGGTAAAGAGAACACAGATTTAAGGTAATTGACGAAAGTCTGAAACTTATTTCATGCACGTATTCAGTGATCTATAATACACAGGCTGAAGGGGTGTTGGAATGTGATTCAACGCTAACTTTGTCAAATGGGATGTATAATTTGCATTGTTTTCTTAGTTTTTCCCCCCCACCACCACTATCAGAAGAGCAAAGAAGGATGACTAATTGTCAACTTTTGAAGATTGTGCATTGTACCTGTGCACAAAGCTGAATGGGTACTGTTGGAATCACATGCAACAGGAATAAGTAATTTCTGAATTACATGTCAACAGAAGGCTACAGATGTTGCATTGTTGAATGTATTGAGCACGAGATATGCAAAATCTTCATGGTCTCTTAGAATTGAGCAATACGGGGAGCAGGCAGGAAAGTGGAGCTTAGCCACGATGATACTGATTAGCAGAGCAGACATGTAAAGGCCTCCCCATTTATTCCTATTTGATGTTCGAGATAAAACATCTAAATATTTGTAACACTTTTTTTTTGTTGGAACTGGTGAATTTCACCAGTTCCAATATTATTTCTGAACACTGCTTGATGAAGCAACAAGTATTGAAAGGTAGTATACAAATCCAACTCAATTACATGATCTGACCTTTTGTTGGAATATATCAAAGTTATTTGCACTTAATAAATGATGGTTACTTACCTGGCTGTTTCTCTCTTTTTTTGTGGTATATTCTTTCTATAAAAGCAGCGCTTTTTTTTACCAACTCTTTACTTATGTTGCAGGTTAGCATGTGACCACTTCATTGCAGACCAATAGCATCACTGAAGGCTGCAAAATAGCTAGCCAGTATTGAAGGCATACTGAGAAGAGGGAATACACTACAGAAAGAGCAGAAGCTGTGTCTGTAAAATTCCACATCAGTTGAACTTGTTCAGAATATGGTTGCAAATGCTTGTCATAACATTTGCTGGTATGACCCATCTCACTTGTGAATAAAGGTTGTTTAATGGAATTATTAGTCATGTGCTGAGAATATATTGAGCTTGTAATTTGTAATTAACTTTGGATTCCAAAACTCAGATGGAAAGATCATTAGGCCCATTTGTGAATAGAAGGTTTTGTCAAAACCCTGATGGGAGGAGTGCACTAGTAATCAAGCTCTGCTGTTTTATGGGTAATCCCAAAATTATAAATCAATCACTGAGATTTAATTTACATGATTTTGACTGCTATCTAGGACAATAAACAAAAAACTTCTTGATAGCAAACATACCCTTTTAATAACTGGCAAAATGGATTATTGAATGAAGCACAAATTAGCCATTTAACCCATTGGCTCCACTCTGCCATTTATTTGAGAATGTGGTTAATCTGATGATCTTCAACTCCACTTTCCTGCTTTTTTTTTCCATAACCCTTAATTCCATACTAACTAAAAATCTAAATATCTCAGTCTTGAATATGTTTAATGACCCGGCTTCAAAAGCCCTATGTGATGAAGAATTCCACAGATATATAAACAAGAGAATAAATTTGCACTCATCAGTCTTAAGTGTGTAACCCTTTTATTCTAAGATTATGTCCTCTGGCCCTAGTCTCTTCCAAAAGGGGGAGCAACCTTTCTGCATCTATCCTGTCAAGTCTTCTAAGAATCTTTTATGTCTCAATAAGATTGCCTCTCAGTCTTCCAAATGTAATGAGCACAGGCTCAATCGAATCAACCTCTCTTGATAAGACACTCGTCCTCCGCACTCTGACAAAACGGGCTAATGAACCCTGAATTGACTGCCTCCAATGCTGGTATACCTTTTCCCCAGATAAGGGGCCTAAACTGTTCACAATATGCTAGCTTTGGTCTGACTAGTACCCTACAGTTTTAGCAAGCCCCCTCCTCCTGCTACACCCCAATCACATTGAAATAAATGCCAAAATCTCAATTGCCTTTGCTATTATCTGCTGAACTTGGATGCTAGCATTTTGTGATTTGCAAAGAGTACTTCCATTCCTTCTCTATTTAAATAATATCCAGCTACTGTATTTTTCTGCCAGATTGTGTAACCTCACATTAAATTCCATTACCAATGTTTTGCCCACTTAACCTGTCTACATCCCACTGCAAGCACTTGGTGTTATCCATACTACTCACCTCCCTACTTATTTTTGTCATCCGCAAACTTGGCTATCACTAACTTTCCTCACCCAAGTGATCCACTGATCCCTTTAGTACGCCAATGGTACATGTCCTGAAAAAGCCCCCCTCGCCTCTTCTATTAGTTATTCAAAGCTCTATCCATGTAAGTATACTGTATCTGACCCCATGGGCTCAATTAAGTATCCTAAGGTGTGGTACCTCAAGTGCTTTCTGAAAAATTATGTTCACTGCTTCACCATTATCTACCTTCCTGTTATATATTCAAAGAAATCTAGTAAGTTTTCCCCTTCATGAAACCATGCTTTCTCTGCTTGATTATGCTGATTTATGTATTTTTAAATGCTCTGCTAGTACATCCTACATAATAGACTCTAGCATTGGAGTTGTTGGTTAGCTCACTGAGCTGACTGGTTTTCATGCAAACGTTTCATCCCCCTTCTAGGAAAAATCTTCAGTGCTGTATAGTGTCTATAGACCCCATCTGCATCCCACTACGGAGCAAAACCAGAAACAGAACTACCCACCATGACAAATCAGACCACGTATATTCAGAACTGGACAGAACACAACACTTCAATGGAGGCTAGACTAAAGATGACTTAGGAGGGGGATGAAACGGTTGCATAAAAACCAGTCAGCTTGGTGAACCAACCAACAACTCCAGCCACAGTGTGAACTACAGATCTTTGCTAAAACAGTAAAGACTCTAGCACTTTCCCAATAACAGACATTTAAGTTAACTGGCCTATAGGTCTTGTATTTCTTTTTGTCTCCTTCCCTTTATTTAAAAAGGTGATACATTGGTAGTTTCACAATCCTCCAGGATGTTCTAAGAATCTTAAGATTCCTAGAAGTTTACTACCAGTACATCCAATATCTTGTAGCTACTTTCTAGGATGCAACCAATCAGTTGTTAGCCCCATTTGTTTCTCAAACTGTTTTTCTCTAGTAATAGTTATTGTATTTATTTTGTTCTTTTGCCCCTTTAATGTTTAGTAATTTTGGGACGCTGTTAGTCTCTCTACTGATGCAAAGTCTAATTCAACTCATCTGCCGTTTCCTGGTTCTCCATTATTATTTCCCAGCCATATTCTTTAAGAGGTCTGTTCGCTTTGGCTTCGTTCTTCCTATTAATTTACTTGGAGAAGCTCTTACTGCCCTTCTTGATATTA